TGGACTCAACTTGGTACTGCTCCAAACTTTAATAATATTTAATCTCAATTCAGTGTTTACAATACTAATATGATTGTATTTTGATGTTTTACTACAATATTGTCTTAATACTGCTCTATTGTTGTAATAGTATGCATTTTTGTGTCAATAACTGTATTGGCAATTGGGCCTCTTTCTGCACACATACAAACCAACCCCTGCCACCACCTTCTGCCACAGCTCCATTGGTCTAATGGTCTATGTCATGGACTTTCATGTGGGAGATCAGGGTTTAAAACCCAGCTAATGCAACTTTAACAAAACATCTCCTCCAACTTCAAATTGTCACACAATTACCTTAATTACAAACACCTGCTGACGTGACAGCCACAAGCTGGTATAGAAAACACATTTGAACTTGGTCAAAGTTCTTTCTGCAAGTCCAATGCTGCAGGCAAAGCCATGCTGCAATGACATGCTACGTGGCAATGCACACTTGTTTTTACATCGTATAAACCCATGTCTAGTTTTATTTTGATTTGTATATTTTTTGGTTTTGGTTTATTTTTTATTATTGTATATAGTATTTTTTAATGAAATTAATAAATTTTGAACTTGAATTGAAAATTAGCATAAAAATTGAATGAAATCATTAGAAAATTATATAAAATTGTAGATGATTAAAGCTCTATCATGAGATGAAGCTAACCTCTAGAAAAGTCACATTCTCTGGGTCAAATCCAGTTTAAAATTTTAAACTGTCTTTGGTCAGGCAAATCAAAACTTTAAATTATTTTTTGAAAACCATGTTTTCAAAGTTCTCTGTACTGTTCTTTCTCTGGATAGAAACTTTTCAAAGTTTCTTGTTCCCTGTATTTAAGAGTAGAGGACCCATCCGGTCTGTTATCTACTGTATGCACAGTTCAGAAGCCTGCCTCTCTGATGGTATGGGGCAGCATTARTGCCTCTGGTATGGCTGGACTATACACCTAGAAAGCGCCATCAATGCAGAACAGTGTGTACAGGTTTGAGAACAACATATGAGGTGAGATAAGGTTTTTATCTCAACATAATAWATAAATCAAATAAATTGGACTCTTGATGCATGGATACCAATATTTTTCTATCAAAATGAACCTTTTCCCTTTTCTTTAAGGAATAAATTTTCATTGTCTGTTCCTAAGTTGGGTCTTACTGAGCATCATTATGTCTCTGGAGGATAACACAAAWAGGTCAAATATTAGTGAGTTTATATGCCAGAGATTTAAATCTTATAACATTTTTAACTTGGGTCTGCTTGGGTCGCCAAATTTCTAGCAGTGATTTCAAGTGGCTTCCATCAACAGGTGGAATTTTTTTCTGTGAAAGTCTTTAACTGAGGACGAGCGTTACATCCTGTTGTCATTCACTTCAGCTCAGCAAACTGCATGCTGGGTATTCAGTGCTGTTRGCACAGGGTCATCAAATGCAGTGGCGGGGCTTTTATGCGTCAGTGCACAAGTTGATACTTCAGGGCTTGTGACAGGAATGTCAGAGTTGTTTTGTGGCGTTCACAGAATAATCTCAGGCTCAAGATCCCTAATGCATATCGACTTAAACTTATCAGGTTTAGTGGATTTCTGAAATACAACCCATTACATCAAACATTGTATAAMAGAGGTAGTGAATGCTTTGCTTCGCTACATATCACAACTAAGATACAACATGGAGGAAATAGAGTTAGAATTTGGAAGAATTTGGGATTTTGCTTTTAAATTAAGCAGTATTTACATCTTGTAAAACAACAAAAAAATATACATTTGTTATATGTAACAGTAACAACAAATTATGTATGAGTCAGCTTCAATTTCATTCAGCAAAATAATAAAGTAAAGGAGGAATGAAACAAAGAGTTTAATTATTTTATTACTTATGTCAGGAAATGCCACTGCCAAAACAACAACAGACAATACATAAGTGTCTAAAAATGAGGACAACAGATGTCTGTGTGAGCCAGTTTACACAAAAGAGGAGCTGCTCAGAAACGCCAAACATCCTGGGGAGGTCTCCTCTGWTTATTAATAAGTTATTTTTAGCAGCAGCGTGCATGCAATTAGTGCAGCAAYAAGGACATTGTTTCATTAAGAAAACACAGACAACATGTTTCATGCAAAGAGAAACTGCCATTATATATACAGTGAATAAAACACCCGAGTGCATTTAACATAGGGAAGGTAAAAGCACGAGAAACAAGTGGAATTAAAACCATCTTTAAATAACTAAAAACATATAACTGATGTTCAAAGTTTTGCAATGTCTTGATTAACAGTTTATGTTGTGCAACAGTGTCAATTGAAAAGAACACACTCTTTTATCAGGGTGGTGTCCAGGCCTTTCCAAAGTCTTCAATCAGAATCATCTCCTTGGTTTTSGTGGTGTTTTTTCAGTTGAGCATCATTCCTGCAGAGAGAAGCCCAACCAGGGTTGTGATGTCTGCAAATGTAACACCAGTGTGAGGCTGAGCAGTCATTAGTTCACAGACAGAGGAGATGCTGTAGCTGTGTGGAGCTGAGGAGTGCTGGAGGAAATGAAGGGGCCGATTCCATCTCTCTGTGGGCGCTCTGGGAGGTATTCTTTAATTCAGGTGGAAAAAGATAAACAGGTCCAGCTTTTCATCATCTGGTGTGAAAGTGAACACTGAGCTGAAGAGCAGCTTCCCATACTGAAGCTATTGTTTTGTTTTTATTGCAACCCAGGAGTCTGAACAGTGACAGCTACGGTATCCTCCTCAACCTGTTGTTTATGTTCCAAATGTTGGTCAAAGTAGACCAGGAGGCTGGCTYTAATGGAGGAGAGGACACGTTTCCACAATATTACAGGAGTTAGAATCCACAATCAACAGTCATGCAGGCTGGTTTTTGAATGGGATGATACATATCGGAAAGGAAAGGAAAGGAAACAAAATAAAACAAAATGAAACTAAATGAAATGAAACAAAATGAAACACAAAAAGATAGATCGAAACCAAAGTAATTAAAGCATATTTTGCATCTGGTTTAATTTGTAACAATTTTAAACCACAATCAAGTAACCATGTTACCTTCAGTTGTGAAAAAGCTGTATCAAAATCGCCTTGAAAATTGGTCTCTTTTTTAAGAATCTCCTACCATTTCTGACACTTTCACTGCAGCACATTTTTAAAACAATGCTTGAGAGACAGGGTGCTCTGTGGGGCGGGAGCTCTTCTGGAGGCTGAGCTTCAAGGAGGAGCTATGTACAAATAGGCGGAGCTTTGTACCAGCAAGCATGGCTACGACAGGCGATACAAGGATTTCTCAAACATGCATGAATGAGTCAAAGCAAAACTCTTGGTATGAAAAAAGAAAAAAATTGTATAGGTCTTCTGGACGGGTTCTTCTCTAATGAAACGTTTCGTCTCTYCTCCAAGAGACTTCTTCAGTCTGAGAGTTTCAGGCAAAATTCAGGCTTTTAAGCCCTGCCTCCATGTGACTGATACTCACATCACATGGCTATCGTTGACACCTAATTAACACTTATTGTTAACAGGGGGTGGAGTGATACTGGCAATAGCAGCACTGTAGGAGGGGGACAACTGAAAACGGAGGCCTCCACCTCTGTTTAATGATGGACGGTCTTTCTTCACAAAAATGGCTTCTTTTACTCCTCTCTCAAACCAACGTTCCTCTCTATCAAGAATGAGAACATCCTCATCTCTGAAAGAGTGACCGCTGGCCTGTAAATGAGTGAAAACTGCAGAGTTCTGGCCATTAGATGTAGCTCGTCTGTGTTGGGACATTCTTTTGAACAGTGGCTGCTTTGTTTCCCCGATGTATAACTGGTCGCAGTCCTCCTGGCACTTAACAGCATATACAACATTGCTCTGTTTGTGCCGGGGCACCGGATCTTTGGGGTGAACCAGCCTTTGCCGTAATGTGTTTTGGGGTTTGAAAGCCACTGGGACATCATGTTTAGAAAATAAACGTCTCAGTTATTCCTTCTGAATGAGGGAATAACATTATAACCTGAAATAAAGTTAAAAAAAGTCAACTTTGCCCCCCTCCCTTTAAAATAATATAAAAATAGGAGTTGTCCTCTGTAATGACTTCCCCAMAAACATCCAATCCCTGACCTTACCACCTAAACCTAACCTGTACTCTGATCCCTAATCTTAACCAGAGACCCCAACCTGAAGACCCCATCTGGTGATCAATAACTGACGCAAGGAGGGTACCCAACACGTCAAAATCGGACGCAGAGGGAATCTAACCAAGCGTCAATGTGTGACGAGTACGGAGTGAAAACCTGTTGGTTCTGCTCCTCTGAATGACACTGGTCCATCTCTGGAAAACAAAGGTTTCAAACAAAAGAAAGAGGAAATGTTTATAAAGAAGGGACCAAAAATATCTCTTCTTATAAACAATCCGAACAGCCTCCAGGGCTGCACTAAAGACAATGACCTACTAGAAACACATGAATGATGCTATCAGTGTTTCTAGCACTTTGTGCCGCAGTTACCCAAACATGGTCAGATCCTCTGACAGTAGCTTTACCAGACAAAATGTTCCTCTGTTTGCCTACAGGCTGTTAAGCTTGTCTGCTTGTGTGGAGTGTGTTTATCTGCGTGTGTGGGCGTGAAGATGAGTTGAGCTTATATGGAGTCGTATTTGTGCCACATTTCAGAAAAAGCTACTTTCTTTTCAGATTTTTATAAATATCCTCCCGTTTTTCCAGCATCTTCTATAAAACCGGCATCAGTCAGAGCTGCGGGGCTTTCAGGAGGACAAACAGACATAAGATGGATAGTGACAGTTTTCCTGTTTTTATATATGGGTCTTATTTCCTTTGATTATTATTATTTTTATTTTATTTTCAGTCCTGTATTCTCGGTGCTGTGATTTTCTGTGTGCTGCATCACCGGTGAATCCACGTGCTCTGTGTTTATCATCAGGAGGGGGAGGGAGAGAGTGACGGAGAGATTTTTCTCTCTCCCTTTGTCCAGTGCAACGACAGACACACACGCCCTCTCATCCGGTTTGTAGCAGGCGTAGAGACGAGGACAGAAAAAAACCCCAGCCTACACGACACGGTGCAGACCGCAGAAACGCCGAGCTACATCACAGGTACAGTTACAATTTACCTGTTTTCTATTTTGGATGTATGTAAAGTGCATGCAGGGATGTGAAGCAATCAGTCTGCAGGCTGAACCGTGCTTGCTGTTCAGCATCCACAAGGTTATGATTTCATCTTTAACCTTGATATGTTCACGGCAGAGAGACATAACGCCTACCATGAGCTGAGGCTGTGCTGTGTTGGAGAGCTACAGGAGGAGGTGGAGGATGTTAAAATGCAGACAGCATTTCTGGCATCGAGTCTGTGAATACCGCTGCTGAGGCTTTCTTTGTATTGTACACTTTTGTTTACACACACACCCCCCCGCTGGCAGCTTCTGCATTTGTGTGAACAGAATGTCGACAGGTTGAATTTGTCGACCCTGCAGGGGAGGAAAATGCACCATTTACAGGTCTGTGTTTTTGACCTTAAAGCCCACATATATCGTATCCTGAAGCTGCTTACGTCAATGAGGCGGGAGCAGTGGCAGGCTGAGGTGGCTGAGTGATGACTCTACGGTAGGTGGAAGTCATAAAAGTTGATTGAATTTGGTGCAGGCTGGTGTTGGTGGCGCCACACCTCTGCCTGCATTRGCTGAAAACACCAGACTGATTTTTGAGACTTTAATGCAGTTGGGCTGTGGTGTTTCATTTAATATTCAACAAGGCCAGCCTAAAGGAATTTTTCTCTGTAAAAGGTCTAGAATATATAGAATTTAAGTGTTTTTTACTGACAACCATGACAGTTTTTTTCAGGCCTGTGGAGCAGAGAGAATGTGAGCCAGACATGAAAATGACTGCAGACGATAGAAAAGCTCCACCACCTAAAACAATTGACTGGAAATTGTAAATAATTCATACATGTATGTACGTATATATTATATATACACACTCAGCTTGCCCTATTTTTTTCACATGGGCGGTTCCACTTCACTTCACTTCACTTCACTTCTAGTCCTCAACCAGAGGCCTGGGAGCTCGAGGGTTCTGTGTATTATCTTATCTTAGTTCCTAGGACTGCACTCTTCTGGACAGAGGTCCTCTGTTGAGTCTGGATCTGGACTGCGGTCCAACATTTGTGAATCTGCAYATTCACATTCATTGAAAGTCGCAAAGATCGCACAAAAAAATTACAAAGTAAGAAACAAAATCTCAACATTTTTCTCAGGTCAGTGGTTATTGTGTTCCAATGCTGGAAATTTTGTTGGCTAAATTTATGACCAGATGCAAATACATGTTAATTTACAACAGAAACAGTCAAGATGACTAAAAATAGGTGAAAGGTAACCGTACCTAGCCTGGCCCATGCCTTCCCAGTTTCGCTCAATTCTAGTTTCCTTCACTGCTCCGTCTGGGATTTCTCCCATAGACAAGGATTTCTTGGGGAGAATTTTCATCCGGGCCAATCAGAGAACAGAACGTCGATTTTCTGCGCAGTGTCTGCTTGTAGTTTATTTTACCTGGACCAATCAGCAAACAGAAGGTGGAGTTTTGAACTACGTCGATTTTCTGCGCAGTGTCAGCTAGTTATTTTAGCATACGGCAGTGGAGGAATGAAGCCAGTCCGTGTTGATAAGGCTTCCAGGTTAAAATAAATTTGTCTGACAAAGCAGCAGCTCTCATTTACAGTCGTCTCGTTCGGCTCAGTACTTCTCTCCTCTCAGTAGGGTTGTTTACAGCACACGCGATTTCCGGTTAGCTTCTTAGCTTAGCCTCCTTCACAGCGACATACGTCGTGGCCAACCGATCCAATGATTTTAAACTTCAGCAGAGGCCACGCCTCCAGTAAGAATCGCTTCTCTATAGCCGCAAGTCCAGACCCTCGTACGAAGCAAAGTGAAGGACAAGGGTCTGGTTTTTACCAGGCTAAACCGTACCAGTTGAGCAGAGGTTTTGCAAAACTTGTATTTTAATCCTTCTCTGCTCTTATTGCACCTAAATGTCCTCTCCAAGACTCTGTGATTGTCAGTTTCTGCCATATTTGTTTACAACCTGCCTAATGTAGGTCAGTCATGTGACTCAAGCTTCAGCACAATCAGCTGATTGCTTTGTTTACATTGAGCATGGACCCGCATTGCAAATGTGTTCAATTTATACACAAATATTATATTACATTTATAAAACTACTGGAGTAAACTTTTTCAAATTGCACCATTTGATAGTTTCATATTAGGCCAGGGCTATTCAACTGGTGGCCCGTGGGCGACTTCCATCCGGCCCGCCAATGAGGCCCTCCCCCCTTATTTTATTTAATATATAAAAAGATTTCAAATCATTTGTAAATTTTAAATTTATATTTCGATGTAATAAAATAAATTTTAAAAGTAAAAGATATTTGTTCTGTTACATGCTGCAGTGTTTCAGCTACCATTACTTGGCACCCCCTCCGAGGGGGGGTGGGGGGGGGATTCAGGCCCCTGAGCTGTGGGCTTCGAGTAACCCTGGCCCCCGGAGTGATTTTGTTGAATTTATTAGGCAATAAACAGGTTAAGCTAGAAAACCTTTTCCCTGTTTTATTGTTTCTTCACTAAATGAAACGCCCAGTGGAGTTGAGCTTGTTTTCCTMTTTGGGAGCTGGTTTCTTTTATCAGCTTGGGGTTTAATAATAGATCTACAAGGAGCAGTGCACTCCTGCTTTGTTTGTTCACATGGCATACCGCAATTCCAACTTGTATCAGCCCTCCAGCTAATCCCTAATTGGAATAGAATTTTTGAAATTTTAGCTAGCTTTTGCGATAAATCTCCAGAGGACAAATATGAAGTGGTTTTGAGAGCATCTGAGGCATTTGTTTCTTTTTGCTGCACAATATTTGTCGAGCCTCACCTATTTKTAATGTAATTTTAGCACTCACTGTGTCGGACTGTCTAAAATCACATCATATTTAATATGCTGTGCACAAATTATGCTGCCTGTGACTATTTGCCTAAGTCTGCAAATGGTACGCTGCTTTCACTTCCCATCATAAAACACATTAAAGTAATGAAGCAAATTATAGTTGGGATGTTTATAAATTCCAACAGACTACAGAGGAATGAGGACTTGAATAAATGAATGAATCTTTAGGTTATGTGGCATTAATGTCATAAAGAAGGAAGATAATGAAGCAAATGTTTGGTTTATGCTTCACAGATCACTGAATCCTCGCTGCTATGACATAACGGTCATGTGATGYATATTTTCCTGCTTTGTTTTAGCAACACTGCTGCCATAACTATATCAGCAAAATTTGTCCTTTTTAAGATGTTTTTTTCTCTAACAGAACATTTTTAGCTCCTAATGTCCTGATGACGTCTGTTAGCGTCATCGTCTCTCATTAAGAAGCTCTTTTAAAAAATTGTGATTGATACAAAAATGATTTCTGGTTCACGTTGAAGCTTGCTGCTTTATTTAATAACATTTTTTAAAAATTCTGTTCAAAACAACTCTCCTTGCTCCATGGAGCCTCCAAAGCTCACTCGAAGCATTCGTCTCCCTCCCACCTAGTGGCATTTTCAACAGCTAAACAATGAGGCTGGCACTGTGAGCGAGCCACTGGAAGAGCAGCACTGTTATTACCGTGCTTTGCATGCTGATGCCTTTGCAGATTGCAAGATGTTTTCTTTGGATCTCTGCTGTCATTTGGTGGCGTCCTTATGTTTGTAGGAAGAAGAGACGAAAGCATTATTTGTGCAAATTAGAAAAGGCTGTTGCACTTGCTTGTTGACCACTACAGGAAGCTGATAAAAGCCATGCCAGGTTTTATATAAGGCTAGATAAGATCTCACAGTGACATCATCACTCASTGTTAGAAAGCCTTTTTTTTTCATTCAGAGAAAATTTTTCAAAGTGGCCTTTCAATCTGTCTGCTCTCTCGTTCCTGCTGTCTGCTTTTTGTAGCTTTTCATTCCACGTTTGTTATTCTGTATATTTTATTGCTGCTTTTGCACCTGCAATGCACCAACAGCAGTACAGAAGATCTTGTTTCTTGTATTTTTATACCCTGCTGATAGATGGGGCCTGGATTGTTTTGGAACTTCCCTCCCAAGACTGGCTGCACGGTTCCACAGAGCCTCCTGCAGACCATGTACGTAGGATTTTAAGGCCGCTGTGCTTGCCGACGTGATTTATCACATTGTGCCACACCCTTCTCTGCCTAATCCAGCTTGTGTGGATTTATTCACGAAAACTTCCGTCTATTTGCTCCATTTTATCAATCACCCAGCCTGCCGCTTTAACGTAATCATTACTCAACAGCGAGCRAACGCTCTTTAAAAATCATTAGTGACCAAACAAACATCCAGAGTGCAGAAATAGACTTTTAGTCACGTCGCAGATTTCTATTTGGATTTCATTTTTAAGCCAAAAGCAGCAGATTTTATAATTAAGCTCGGTGCACAAACAAAGATTTGATCTCTAAATTGGCTCTGCAACAGTTGGCATTAAAAGGATAATTCAGCTCTTCTGATGTGGGGTTTTGTGGAAAACTTCTTCACAATTAATATTTGACCTGGATGTAGCTCGCTCTTTGAATGACCTCGGGGGATGAGAAGTTAGTTCTGATCTGATGGATCAGTTAAAAGCAGCAGAACCAGGACTCAAGACTACTTTTATTAAAAAAACAAATAAAAATATTTCACAGCAGCTAAATGCAAACTGTCTTTTATAAACATTTACACCGCAATCCATCTCACATTACAGGTGCTGGTCATAAAATTAGAATATCATGAAAAAGTAGATTTATTTCAGTAATTCCATTTAAAAAGTGAAACTTGTATATTATATTCATATATTACATACAAACTCATATATTTCAAATG